TATATATATATATATATATATATATATATATATATATATATATATATATATATATATATATACTACGGGGGCTAATTCGAAAATTTAGAAAATTGGATGGTTGAAAGTAACATTTTACAAGTTCAGGGTTTAAGTGACATTTTAAAAAGTATTTTTAAATGAATGAAAAGGTTACAAACTTCTTAACATAAAATATGATAAAATTACATAAATGGTCCCTATGGGTTATTTATTGTCACAAACTCAGTCTCTGCAACATGAAAATACCAAATTACCCTTAAACTAACTGAAAAAAACTAACGGTGTTAACAAAAAAGACCATTCCGCAAATTTTGGAAAACATAGGGACCATCTACATTAAAATATTTAGCTAAGACTGATTTTGTGAGTTTGGGAACCATTTATGTAATTTTGTCTTATATTTATAATTATTAACTATTTATAATACTCCTGGGCCAAAAATGAATATTTAAACATCATATGTTATGGTCACGTTTTCGAAAAGCCAAGAAGAATCTATTGAACTGGAGACCAACAAGTCAGGGAAACAAGACAACGAACATTGACTTTGGTACATTCATCTCGAGTTTAGATCTAAGACAACCAAAATCAGAAGCACTAATGTAATTTGAAACTTCCATGGCGATCGTCACTGAATTACCAGAAGAACAAGAAGCGGCAATAACATATGATGTTTTCCTGAGTTTCAGAGGGAAAGACACTCGTCTCGGTTTTAGCGATCACCTCTACCAAGCTTTGGTGAATGAAAACATCTCTACCTTTCTTGATGAGGAAGAGGTTGAAACTGGGGAAGAACTTAAACCAGAACTTGCAAGAGCTATAAAAAGCTCTCGTGCTTCCATAATTGTGTTGTCTAAGAACTACGCATCTTCAACATGGTGTCTGGACGAGCTCGTGATGATCCTTGAGCAACGAAGGGTCTCTGATCATATTGTTCTCCCTGTTTTTTACAACGTCGAGCCGACACATATCAGGAAGCAAGAAAGCACTTTTAGAGAAGCGTTATTTGAACACAAACGGAGGATTGAGTCCGAAAAGGATGTGGAGAAGAAACTTCAGGGTGCTCGTAAGTTGGAGTTGTGGACGAAAGGACTTACAGAAGTTGCTGATCTGAAAGGAAAGGATGCAAATGGCCGGTAAACCTTTTTATACTGTATTTATCCAGAAGTCTTTTCATTTTGTATCATCGAGTATAGACAAAATAGATCACTTTCGGCAATCTAATTTTTCTGTTTCAATCAAATTAACATTTTAAGTCCTGTAACATTCAGAAATTCATTAGCGTCTTAGTGAAATCTTGAAATAAATGAGAAGGAATCAAAAGAAGAATTATCGATTACGATTTATTGATTTTCATTTACATGGGTCGTGTCGTCGTGACTTGTTTATCAAATTTAATTCAAATTTTCAGACGAGAGACTGTGTTCATTGACGAACTCGTTAAGGAAATTAGTAGTAGACTGGAACTACACACCCGGACTAAAATCCCCCATCTAATTGGGATGGACATGACTATTCTTACCATAAGTTCCTGGTTGAAAGGAGGATCGTCATCAAAATCTGCTGAAGTTCTCACAATATGGGGAATGACGGGGATCGGAAAAACAACTTTGGCAAAATATATCTATAGGTTGCATAGCCATGAATTTGCAAGAAGTAGCTTTGTTGAAGACATTGAAAGAAAATGTGCAGAACAAACATATGCTCTACTCGATTTACAAAAACAGCTTCTTGGAGACATTCTGGGGAAAAGAATGATTGAAGAACATGATGTAGATGTTTGCACATCTAAGATTGAGAAAGCATTACTTAATAAACCAACACTAGTGGTTCTTGATGGTGTCGATAACTTTGAGCAGGTAGATGTGTTGATCGGAACAAAAGGTTTTCATCCAGGAAGCAAGATTATTGTAACAACCAAAGATGGGTCCCTAACAGAAAAGTGTTCATTGTTTCGTATGAAATTTCCTCCAAAGCATACAGAGCATGCACTTTATGGTTTAAGTGCTACAGAATCTCTAAGACTTTTATGTTGGCATGCATTTGGAGGTTATGATCCTAAGGAAGGTTATGAAGAAGAGGCAATAAGAGCTTCAAAGTATTGTGGAGGACATCCACTCGCTCTAAAGGTTTTGGGTAGTTCTCTAAATAACGAAGATGTTGCCACATGGAGTGATACCTTTGAAATGCTAGAGACAGGAGAATTCCATAATCATGTACACAAGGTCCTCCAAATTAGCTTTGATTCTTTGCCATCGGAAGATTGCAAAGAATTGTTTAAGCATATTGCATGTTTTTTTGTTGGGAAAGATAGAGAAGCTACCGAAATAATCTTAAAGGAATGTGGCATTCGCACATCATATGGGATGAAAAAGCACTTCGATAGATGTCTTCTCACAATTGGAGGAGATAATATGATCACAATGCATCAGTTGCTTCAAGATATGGGGAGAGATTTAGTCCACAAAGAATCACCTGATAAGCCATGGAAGCGTAGTCGAGTATGGAAACATGAGGAGTCCCTCGATTTGTTAAAAAATGACAAGGTAAATACAACATATAGTCATTAAGAGTATTTGTTAGCTTTATCGTCTATATAACAATGAATGCTTGATGTAATTTTCTTTTTGATAGGGTACCCAAAGAATTCAAGGTCTTATCCTTGACACGAACTTATTGAGAAAGGAGCATAACTTCCAAAATGATGACGTGAACAAGAGTTTTAGAGCTGATCAACCAATCCAGATGGTCTATGAGTTCTTTTTAAGGATTTGGTTGTTTTTTGCTCGGCTTCTCCTAATGCTTTCATCTTCTCATTGCAAAAAAGTCGAATTGAGAGCAGATGCAATAAGAAAGATGGATAAGCTAAAGCTGCTCCAACTCAACAATGTAAAAATCGACGGATCTTACAAGAATTTTCCAAAAGGTTTAAGATGGTTGTGCATGCATGGATTCCATTTAAAATTCATACCTTCAGACTTACCAATGGAAAATTTGGTTGCTCTTGACATGTCTTACAGTAATCTGACACAGCTTTGGAAGAAGCCAAAGGTATGAAATTAAAAGCTTTCACTTCAATTTTTAGACAATTAATATCTTGGTTATAATATTCTTGATTAGAGGATGTGGAATGAAACAGCTTCTTGGGTCATTGAAGATTCTTAATCTGAGTTATTGCAAGATTGTTAGAGTTGAAGGCTTCTCTTGGCTACCTGCACTTGAGAGGTTGATTCTTACGAACTGTGAAAGCTTGATTCATGTGTGCGAGTCAATTGGTGGATGTGATAGCCTTGTTATTCTTGACTTGAGTTACTGCAATAATCTTAGTAATGTTCCAATTAGCATTAGCAAGTTAAAGAAGATTAAAAGTCTATCACTAAACGGTTGCTTAGGTGCTAGTGAGTTTCTAATGCGGATGAAGGATATGGAGTCATATGCATCTTCCTCTTCCGTTGGAGAATTTTTACGGAAAACTCCAAAATTATTTTTGCTACCTTCACTAGTAACCTTGTCGCTTAAGGGCAATAATTTATCTAATGAATCCTTTCCAAAGGACTTCAGTAGCATGCCAATGTTGAAGATGTTATATCTAAATGGGAATCCAATTGAGTCCCTGCCTGATTGTGTGGGAAGCCTTAGCAGGCTTGAGTTTCTCTGTGTTGGAGAATGTTGGATGTTGAAGTCGGTATTGTGCCTTCCACGTACAATCAAATATTTGTCTACTTCAATGTGTTCGTCACTTGTTAAAATAACATTCCCTCAAGAAATGTCGGCACCACCATTTGTGCATTACGATCATTCGGAGTCATTGACCGAAATTGAAGGCGTAATAAAATTTCAAGCTATAGCACAAATTGATGACCAGATATTATGTAGCTTGGGGTGGACAAATTTACAACATGTGAAAGATCAGAAGATGCAGATATGGGATTCACACAGATGGTTTCATTTAAACAATCTCCCAGTCCAGGTATTCTCTTTCTTCTGCTCTGTTTCTATGGATCTCACAAACACACACTAATATGCGTAAAATTCATACAATGGAATGTTTTATTTGCAGATGAATTACGAATTTGGAATATTTAGCACATGTTTTCCTGAGAAAACAGTTCCAGATTGGTTACCTCATAAAAGCAAGGGTTCATCAATATCAATATCAATATCAATAGCCATGCCAGCGTCTTCAATGAATAAAAAGATACAAGGAATAAATATAAGCTTTGTGCAAACAGGAAAGATAGGTCATTTAAGCATAAAAGTAGAGAACGTGACAACAAATCGCACCTGGATATATTATGGTCATATATTTGCTGTCCCAGAAACTGATGAAGATATAGTATGGTTATGTCATTGGATGTTTGGGGATAATGAGATTAAAAATGGTGATGAAGTTGGTGTTACAATTTTAAAAGGAAGGGGAGGTGATAGAGTAATGGTAAGAGAGTGTGCAATCAGTCCAGTGTATAATACTGATAAGGAGAATGAAGAAGATCCTTTGAGTTATTACAAGTCGTGGAAATATATTATTGGTGGTGATCTGTCCGCTTTTCAATTACCCTCAGGAGATTACTTACTAGACCAACGTCCTTTTGGTTATCATTCCCATGTATTTGAAGACCACTTATATAAACTATTTTTGCAAAGTTAGAATGCCATTACAAATACCCAAATGGAAGTATGGTGCTATAATTGGGTGGATAATGTACCTTTATTTGGCGATTTTTTGAGCTGATTGTTTTCTTGTGATGAATTATCCTTGGGATTATATCCGGATCTTTGTGAGGATATCGTGATAACTCCATGTTCTAAATTTTGTTCTGGCATCTAACACTTCCCGTTGACCGGCTTCATATAGCAAAACCTTTTAAAGAATTTCACATGAGGAAAATGTTAAATTATAAATAAATAGAACTATAAAGACAAATGATTATGCATGGAAGATGTTTGCACAAATGTAAAATCCCTATAAAGATCAATATTTATACACTTGCATGCACTTTTGTTCGTCTATTTTTCAAGTAAAAAACAAACTCTAAGCTATGTTTGAAGACAAGGGCATTCAGATCTTTTACACAAACCATTAATTAATATTTTTTAAGTAAATTACATTTTTGGTCCTTGAGGATAGCTGATTTTTTTTTTCAATTTTGGTATTAAAAAGTTTTCTTTTTCAATTTGGTCCTTATTTAAGGTTTTCTAATTTTTTTTGTCATCTTCCAAGTAAAATACTATCTTTTGGACCAAAATTTCAAAAAACCAGATTTATTGATCAACCAAAAATAGTCATTTTACTTTTCAAAGGGACCAAAAAAAACCTAAAATAAGGCCAATATTGCAAGAGAACATAATGGGACCAAAATTGCAAAATCTAGCTATACTCAAGGACCAAACATGTTGTTGTTGTTGTGCTGCTACTGCTGCAGCATAGCAACCAATTTGTATTTTTTTCTACTAGAGTTTATACAACATGTAACCACTTGGACAAGTTAGTAGTCGATTTTGTTTCACATGAGTTGGTCTAGTTAGTGGAAACTCTTTTTTTAGCTTTATACAAAAAAATATGTTAAATATGATTACAAAAAATATATTACTACAATGATATAATTTAGGATGTCATATGCATTTCAATTAACTTGTGTGATTTCCATCCATTTAACCTATTTGAGACATTTTTCTTTCTAACTTATTGATTAATATGAATAAAACCAACTATTTTAAGCAAATTAATCCTAATGAAAACAACCAACAAAAAATAAATGCCAAAAGGTAAATCTATGGCGGTTAATTTGACAAGCTTCAACAACCAGAAGGGCCGATCCTGTAAACATGCAAATAGAAGGGGCTATAGCTAAAATTTGAACGGAAAGCAACGGAAAACAACACCCAAACTATTCGTTAAGAAAAAAAAATCGACGAACTGTATAACCGAAATTGAATGATCAAAATCGGAAATCAGATTTGAGAAAACGATGATGGAAGAAACCCTAGACGATTGTGCCAAATCATTTACAGCTATATACATATTCTTCATCGCCACCGCTTTTCAGTTCTGTGACAAGCTCTTAGCACAGAAGAAGAGGGTAAAATTCCATCCAAACTTTCAAAATTTATATGCGATTCCATTTCGTTGTTTTAGTCGGATTATGCTAATGTGCGGATTGTTTCTTCATTTATAGATTTCGATATATGGATTTGTTATAATGGAATTGCTTTCCTGTTGAAGTCGCTAAATTTAGTGAAAAATCTTTGCTTCATAATTTTCCTCTCGTAATAATACTTTTAGATAACCATATAATTTCATTTCTCGAAATGCATTCCTGTTGAATCTTATGCCATGATACCCTTTCAATGCTTGATGACAAAATTGATTTTCAGTTCAGTTATATTTATAGTGATCTTGGGGAGTTATCAATTGAAGCAAAAGGTTTTTCTAGCCTTTACATGTGGAAAAAAAGGAAACATAGTTTTAAACATTTGATTATTATAACATCATACTTTCAATTTTCTTTTTTCTTATCAAGGCATTGTACTTTGAAACATCTACACAGTTATAGCATTGTTCTTTCAATTTTTCTCTTATTAGGTAATTATAACAACAAAAGTAGGTTTCTATAAAAAAACAAATAAATGAAAGCACGTTGCTATTTATTGTATTTAACCCTTTAAACTTTGAGTTAGCAGAAAGCTTCAATGAGTCAGAAGGATTTGCAGTTGCGTATTGAGATCAAGAGACTGTTGAAAGAGGCAGCCGCTTTGTCACAGTTAGTAATCTCATTCTCAACAATTTTACCTTTTTCAAGGCCTCATTTGTTACACAGGACAAGAGATGACAAAAACAGAGGTTTATGTCAACAGGACAAAAGTTGCAGCTTTTTGTCAGGGACTCGCTTTGTCCCATGGACGTTGGGACTTAGTCCCAGTCAAATGCAGGACAGACACAGTATTGTCCTGCATACAATAAATGAAGTCTGATAACCAGCTCAAGAAAAAAAAATATTTAATATACTTGACTCTAAAAGACTTTAAGTGTTCCATATATGCATAATAATAAGATAATTGGATGAAAAATATGTTTCTTGCCTTTTAATCCAGGCCTTCAACATTTGCTCAAGCTGCAAAACTTAGAAGAACAGCAGCAGCTAAGGAGAAAGAACTTGCAAAAAGTATGATATTTACTTTTTAATTTCTTTATTTTAACATCCTATTTTTATTTTTTTTCCTATTATAGCATTGTACTTCAAATAGAAAGGCAATATTTCACATGTAAGTGAATTTTATGATTATGTTAGGTCAAGAGTCATTGAACAAGGATATGAAAACATCATTTGGGTCATATGAGAGAATTCTAATGATTTCAAAGGTGATAAAATATATTTTCATATTATTTATAATTATGATATTGTATTTGCAAGATAATTTACAACTTCTTGTAAATAGATTGTTGTATATACTTTACTTTCCATGTGGCATTGGCGTGTTCCTGTGGCTTCCATATCCAAAGAACTTGTGCAACCATTCGGTAATCCATTCTTTTCCATTTAAAAAAAATTATAAGTCACCCTTTTTTTTATATATAAAAAGTTGTACTATGTTTGACATGCATTGGACACAGACTGATGTTTAATGATACAAAATTTGCAATCTTTTCTTTTTTAATGCAGGGTGGTTTTTATCTTGGACGGCTAGAGGTTCTTTTAGTGACAAAGTTATGGTAAACTATTTTTTTTTTTTACATAACAAAATTATATTATTTTAAAGTTTATAGCAATATGTGGCGTGAAAAGTATAATATGATGATGTGGCACCAATTGTTGTCATGTATAAACACGTTGGGGTGGGACTTTATATATTTTAGATAATTATTTTTATTTAAATCAATAATGTTTTATTTATAATTTATTGTAACTTTGATTGCAGATTGGCATTGTACCTTGGTTGATATTATCTAACAAGGTTGGAAGATATTTTGTTAAGAAAGTATTCAAGATGACTTAACAAAAGATTTTTTTTCTCACTCTCTTCATTAAATTAATTTCTTTTATTCTTTGGTGTGCTTTTTATTTGTAGTTTTTATATAAACATTCAAGTTTTTGGTCAAATTGATATGATAATAAATAAAAAATTTGTACACACATTTTTTTGTTTATTTGTAATTATTCAAGTATTTCATTTGTAAATTTATTATGATTAATACAAATAATGTATTTTGTAGTTTTTATAATTCTTGTAATCTTGTTTGTTTATAACTTTTTATAAATACGGAAGTAATAAATTAAGTCTTTTTTTCTTCAATAAATTTGTATTGCTTAAAACTTAATAAATTTAAAAGTGATAATTTAAGTGTTCCATTTGGTTCTTAACATCATCTTTAGGTAAATCTTATATCAGGTTTCTATTTGGGACTTGCACTTGATATACAGTTTAATCATGTCTCGTAATTCATTTTAATCAGTATATTGATTTCAAAGTGTATTTAAAATAGTGCAAATTGTAGGAAATAACCACATATTTTACTTTTTTTTTACTATAATCTGTAAAAAACAATGTATTTACATTTTTTTATCTATGATAGTAACCTACTTATATCTTTTTAACGATAATAGTAATATGCAACTCATAATAGTAATATACTTACTTTTCATTACTCATAATATCAATGTACTTACTTACAATTCATTAATCATAATTACAATGTACTTATATTTATCTAGTGCTATCATGGGTAAAAAAGCTTATAAACATTTGATATTAGTGATAAAAAATAAAGTATATTACTACTATCTATAGATTAATATAACCACATTGTTATTCCTTATTATTAAGAAAAAAAAATATAAGTACATTTTTACTATGTATAAAAATAAAAAGGTGTGTAACACATATTAACTGTGAACTTAAGGTATGCTACTATTCTCCCCAATATTACACATAGGGGAAAACATGAAACATAAAAACCAAAATTACCATGTGGTATTACATTTAGGCATTGTGGATTTAATTGGCTAGAAGATCATAGTCACAAAAAAAGTATTTATTTAGTTTTGCTAGTCTATTTATATGATTTGAAAACCCAAAGGGCCACTTTATTGAACTTCAAAAATCTAAGGGGTCAAATTGAAACTTCAAGCCACATAATCATCTAGAAATCGAGTAAAAGATGGAATAAAGATCAGAACCGAATAATATCTCGGGTTCGCCCCGGTAACTTGTTGCTGCCGATATCTACTACCACCGTCAACCGGTGAATCATGAGCAACGAGAAGAGTAAATCCGGCACCGGAGATGAAAATATGGTACGGATAACTCTCAGAATGATTGGTCCTTCTCCTCCATCTTCCATGGATGTCCATTCTCCGATCAAAGTATGATTCTCGTCTCTTCTAATTTCATATGCATATCTTAATTCCGGTTGACTTGAAACCTATAATTGACTAATTGTAAAAATATACTTGATGAATTCGACCGGATTTATTTGATGATTGCGTGATTGTACTTGAATGATCTTGATTACGAACAATAGCAAATTGTAACAATGATGCATGAGATCATGTCTTACACAGATGATAATATCATAATTAAGGGACGGATGAGCACATCGTACTGTACTGGAGTTGGATACCGATCAATCTAGTGCTGTTCTCGTTTTAGGTTAATTAATTTATGTATTTTGGACTTTCCATGTCGAAGCTTTTTAATCCTTTGTCTCAAATTGATATGATTATGTTCTGAATTTAGCAAAAAGTTGCTAGTCGAAGTCATTGTGCGATCAAAATTCACTCAGAAGTTCAATTTCATGAATTTTGAAGTTATCCCTTTGATCTTATTGTAAAACTACGTGGAACAAACTTGTTTACCCTAAAATAAGTGAATGGAAACTATAACTCTTTCAAACATTTAGAGGACTGTTGCTGTTTGGAAGTAATCTTATTTTGAAGGAGATTAAACAATCAATAATTTAGAAGCTAATATTTTAGGTGATTGTTTTGATTTCTTCCTTCACTTATTATCAATTAGGTGCGTGATTTGAGAAATTTGATTGCTGGAAATGCTCGATTGCCTCTTGAAAACTTGAGGCTTATTTTGCAAGGAAATGTGTTACATGACAACAAATATGGTGATGATATATCTGTTCATCTCAACCATGGAGGTATTACTTTATTTCACTTTTGCTTACACAACAAGTTATCCATACAAGAAAACAGCTTCCAAGTTTCATAGTTCTACTGATTTGCTCCTGCCCATGTTTTTTTCATTTTTTCTAATACATGAGAGCATTTTGGTTTGATATCTGGTTGTGGTAATTGCAATTAAAATGACTCTTTATTTTTTCATGTACAACATCTAAATTGTTGGAGAGTTGTATTATATTATCCAGATACTCTTATAGTTGCTGTTAAACCAAAGCCTCCTGCCAAACACATTCAGAATGGATTCGAGGAAGAGGAAGAGGAACTTGTAAGGACTGATCAATTTGTGTTACATGATTTTTTCTCTATGCATGACATGACTATATATAACAAGGCAGAACATGACATGACTTTTTTTTTTCTTCCAAAAAATAGAAGTTTCAGCTCCCACAATTAAATAGCAGATGGAAGAAGAGGCTTTTCATTATTCTACATGAAAAGTTGAAGATACCTGGTACACATGTGGTTTATGAAATTTATGGCTTATAAGTTACAAAAACAGGCCTAAATGCAAGAAATAGCAACATACATACCTTCATTTAATTGTTTATCATTTCTTTGTACTTTCAAATGTTTTTGTGTGAACACATTGCACTTTAAAAAATCTATCCGGATATAGCGCTTTCCTTTCAATTTTTTTTTTTTCTTATTTAGACATTGTACTATAAAAAATCTACCCAATTATAGCAATGAAAATTTCTTTATATTGATTTTTCAAAGTAGAATGTTGTAATAGGATGCTTTAACCCTTACAACAATGAAAGTAGGATGCTTTAATAAACAAATTTCTTTATATTGATTAAATGAAAGTAGGATGCTTTAATAAACAAATAAATAAAAGTACATCGCTATTTCTTGCGTTTAACCCTTACAACAATGGTTGGTCCTAATTTTTTTTTTTTTTTTTTTTTTTTTT